CATCTCTTGCCACAGAAGTTTACCCTGAGCTTCTGGGAAACTGTAAATCCACAGATGTATCTATAAAAATTAATCTAAACCAAGGACCTTTCTCCTTTGTCTCCTATAAATCTGTTAGAGTACAGACCCACTAGGCCTCATTTTAAAAACACTAGATTGATCATCAGGGTGGAAGAATTACTGTGAATAGCCAAATGCCACTGATATTTTTGGAACATAAAAGGGACTTTAGCTTTCATAAAAAATACTCTCAGTTTAGTGATGAGGAAAAACATTTTTAAAAATGGGCAAAGGACACAAATAGACATTTCTCCAAACAAGATGTAAAAATGGCCAATAGATATGTGAAAAGACCCTCAATGCCACTAGTGTCTGTCTGCTCAAACTAGTGCATATAGTCTTGTTCTGGTGCATAACAGAACTGAAGATAACTCCCCTTGTTCTAGACCCTCTGTTTTCATTGTTGTTATCCAAGGTCACAGCATTTCCTAACTCCCTGGGATTTCAATGCTGAAGAGAACTGGAATGTTATGCCTCTGAATCAAAGTTCTGTTCCTACTAACAAGACTTTCTGAAAAAAAATTTGTTCACATTGTTAGTGTCTATAAAATAAACACTTTCTTATAAGATGATGATGATTTGCCTAATTATTCCTTTGACAAATGTGGTTGCTTTATATCCAATCTAGTTGCTACAAGGCCTCTTTATTTATATTCCCTTTGCTGAGTAAATCCTCATTGCCCAGAACAGTACTAGATGCTAAAGCACAAGGAGAAGTCCCTGAGAAAGATAGGATTGAGAAGCCGATACCCCCATGGTCACATCTTCCCAGGAGTTTTGTTACTCCGCTTCAGGTGGTGAAATTTTCCATATTATCCCAGATGAAGACAGTGTAACACAAAACTTTCCCTTCCCAGCCACAATTGACACAGGGGAAAAAGCCTTTGTTGTTTAAAGTCACTGAGAGTTTGGGGTTGTCACCTTAGCAAAATCCAGTCCAAGTTACTGACTCAAAACTGTATCTGAAAGTGGAGCATTGCTATAGAACTCTAAGTATATGGCATTTGTCTAGGGGCCAGATAATGGGCAAAGAAAAAAGTATTATTAGAAGCTGGAAGTGTCCATGTGGGGAACTAATAACTTGCCCTTTTGGTTTATAGGTCTCTGAAACGAGAGGATCCTCATATGGATGTGACAGAGAGAATAATGTTCTATTTTCTGTTATAAAGAACATCCTGGATATTCTCCAGAGATCCTGGATTTTTAACTTGCAGCTGTGACTGGGCTAGGAATGTTGGGGTACCTGCAATAGGGAAGGGAGAATAGTCTTTTGCCTGCAAGAAAGAATGTTTATGTCCATAGGAGCACAACATATAGTCATTAATTCTAGTTACCAAGTAGTTTTGGCTTTCTCCTCCTAAGCACATGGTGAGATGGTTCTTTGTGCCCTCCTTGGGAGTAGGAGTTCCCATGTAATTGGATTTAGCCCTCAAATGTGAATGAAAGTGATCTCTGTCATTCCTAGGCAGAAAATTTAAGTAGGATCCCCTTCAGAATCCTCCTTTGAGAATTATAAAAACACCAGTTGGAGCCTAAATTCCAATGTGAGATCAATGTAGGACAGAGGCTACTGGAAAACCCTTGATGACATGTAGAATGAGCAAGAAATAAACCTTTATTTTAATCCTCAAAAATGTGGAAATTTTTGTTACTGAAACATAACCTAACCCAAATGACTGATATACTACGTGAGTTTCAACAATTCCCATAATCTGCATGTGCTTCTAATGGCAGGGATAAACAAAGAACCGACCTCGTAGGCAGTATTGTAAAGATTGTGTGTGCTGATACATGTAAAAGCTTACAACAGAGCCTGGAAAGAATAAGTGTTCAACAGATGTTATCTGGTGTTACTGTTTTTTATCGTATAGATTTTAGTAAATGCTACTGGTACTCCCAAATCATAATCCCTTGGCCCACTTTATTTTAGCTACAACTAGGAAGGATGGCCCTGTGCAAGCTCTGACTTACCCAGGCTGATAGGGTTGCATCATAAGTCTATTTTTCTACTCCATTGCCTTCCCTGACACATGGAAGCCTGTGCAACCCATGAGAAAGAATAGGCCAGAGATATACGGGAGTTATTGCCCCAGGAGCAAACCTCAAACAATAGGGGACAGAAATTGGTGGGTAGATACTCATTTCTTATTTTTCAGGAGTGATGGAGAGGTTCTCTGTTCACTTATCAGGAAATCTCAGTGGAATTGACTCTAAATTATTGTTCTTTGAGGTTTTCTAAACATTATTTCCCTCTCTGTCCATGGGCGTCAACCAAATATTTTTTCAAATATTTGAAAGTGATCCTTATGCCCCACTTTACTCCTCTGAGTCTTCTTCAGGCAAAACATCTCCACTTGCATCAAACATTACCTACAAGATATTGAGCCCCTTGCTATTCTCACCATCTTCACATAGCTGGTAAGTACAGGTGTAAACCTTGGTGAACTGGGGAACAGATGCCTATATATTTTCCTAGAAGCTATTCTGACTTGCTTTACTGCACTGAAAGTTAATTAAAAGCTGGAAGTACTCCTCATTTTAGCAGCTCGAAGAACATCTCCCAGTTTTTAAATCTTGTAATAGTCTTTCTGACCCCAATAAAAAGAAAGACATTAATATTATTAAATTATAATTATTGTTCAATTGCATATCTTATTATTAAATACTTATTTAAATATTATATTATTTAAAATAATTTACTCTGAATATTTTACCAGGAACTATTTAACTCTCCTAGAAATCTTGTAAAGCAATACTGCTATTTTACTCATTTTACTGATGGAGTAACTGAGACTTACAGAGTTTAATTATGTTCCTTATGGTCACATAGCTAGTAGGAGGCAGAACCAAGATTTGAATCCCAAAGCTATGCTGCAGTCCATGCCTTTATTACTTCTATAGCATCTCCTGCACTGAGCCTGCTACTACTTTCTGTACTAGGCATCATCCTGTTTGGTTAGACCTACCCTGTCACAATGTGGAAATGCCTTTGAATTTTAGATTTCTTGCCTCATATATTAAGAAACATTGGCTGCACACAGTGGCTCATACCTACAATCTCAGCACTTTGGGAGGCCAAGGCAGGTGGACCATTTGAGGACACAAGTTCAAGACCAGCCTGGCCAACATGGCAAAATCCCATCTCTACTAAAAATACACAAATTAGGTGGGCATGGTGGTGCATGACTGTAGTCCCAGACACCTGGGAGGCTGAGGCAGGAGAATCGCTTGAACCCAGGAGGCGGAGGTTACAGTGAGCCAAGATCGCGCCACTGCACTCTAGCCTGGGCAACAAAGTGAGACTCTGTCTCAAGAAAAAAACTACAAAACTACAAAACACTGCTGAAAGAAATCATCAATGACAGAAACAAATGAAAACACATCCCATGCTCATGGAGAGCAGAATCAATACTGTGAAAATGACCATACTGCCTAAAACGATATACAAATTCAACGCAATCCTCACCAAAATACCACCATCATTCTTCACAAAATTAGAAAAAACAATTCTAAAGCTCATATGGAACCAAAAAAGAGCCACATAGCCAAAGCGAGGCTAAGCAAAAAGAATAAATCTGGAGGCATCACACTACTTGATTTCAAACTACACTGTAAGACCGTAGTCACCAAAACAGCATGGAACTGGTATAAAAATAGGCGCAAAGACCAACGTAACAGAATCGAAAATCCAGACATAAACCTAAATACTTTTGGTCAACCGATCTTCAACAAAGCAAACAAAAACATAAAGTGGGGAAAGGACACCCTTTTCAAAAATGGTGCTGGGATAATTGGCTAGCCACACGTAGGAGAATAAACCTGGATCCTCATCTCTCACCTTATACAAAAATCAACTCAAGATGGATTAACGACTTAAACCTAAGACCTGAAACTATAAAAATTCTAGAAGATAACTTTGGAAAAACCCTTCTAGACATTGGCTTAGACAAGAAACTCGACCAAAAACCCAAAAGCAATTGCAATAAAAACAAAGATAAATAGCTGGGAGCTAATTAAACTAAAGAACTTTTGCACAGCAAAAGGAACAGTCAGCAGAGTAAACAGACAACCCACAGAGTGGAAGAAAATCTTCACAATCTATACATTTGACAAAGGCCTAATATCCAGAATCTACCACAAACTCAAATCAGTAAGAAAAAAAAAATCAATCCCATCAAAAAGTGGGCTAAGGACATGAATAGACAATTCTCAAAAGAAGATAAACAAATGACCAACAAACATATGGGAAAATGCTCAACATCACTAATAATCAGGGAAAGGGAAATCAAAACCACAATGCAATACCACCTTACTCCTGTCCACAATCAAAGCATCAAAAATCAGTAGATGTTGGCATGGATGCGGCAATCAGGGAACATTTCTACACTGCTGGTGGGAATGTAAACTAGTACAGCCACTAGGCAAAACAGTGTGGAGATTCCTTAAAGAACTAAAAGTAGAACTACCATTTGATCCAGCAATCCCACTACTGGGTGTCTACCCAGAGGAAAAGAAGTCATTATTCGAAAAAGATACTTGCACATGCATGTTAATAGCAGCACAATTCACAATAGTAAAATTGTGGAACCAACCTAAATGCCCATCAATCAGCAAATGGATAAAGAAACTCTGATATATATATATATACACACACACATATATATATTTATATATATTCGTATATATTCATATATATATTCACATATATATTCATATATATATGAATACTACACAGCCATAAAAAGGAATGAATTAACAGCATTTGCAGTGACCTGGGTGAGATTAGAGACTATTATTCTAAGTAAAGTAACTCAGGAATGGACAACCAAACATCATATGTTCTCACTGATATGTGGGAGCTAAGGTATGAGGATGCAAAGGCATAAGAATGATACAATGAAGGGATTTTAGGAGAAGAGTGGGAGGTGGGTGAGGGATAAAAGACAACAAATATGGTGCAGTGTATACTGCTCTGGTGATGGGTGCACCAGGTTCTCACAAATCTCTACGAAAGAACTTACTCCTGTAACCAAATACCACCTGTACCCCAATAACTTATGGAAAAATATTTTTGTTAAAAAACAGAAAGAAGTATTTTCCATTTTCCTCAGTGCTAAGTTTATAGTCTGCCACTGTGCACCCTTATAAATTTAATGATCCTTATATCTAAATGAGACATTTTCATTAAACTTTTCCTATTTCATTAGAAAAATATGTTAAAGTGTGTTAATAGTGATTTTAACATCAAAACTTGCCTTTAACTAGAGGGCTCTAATTCTGGCTCTGCAATACCTATTACATGTCTATAATTACTATTAATGTTATTCACCAATTTTTCCTAGTTTTCCATCCTCTGTGCACATGCCAAGACAGCACTTCCTGACCCTGCTGTGGTTGAATGGGTACATATGATTAACTTTGGTCAATGAGCTGTGAGTAAAAGTGGCAATGAGTTACTTACTTTTGGGCTAGAGCCTGTAATTACCTACTTAAGACCATCTAGAGCTCTCTTTTCCTCTATCACAATGATAATCAAAATTCCAGAGCGTGACCACTGCATCAGCCTGGGTTTATGAGTGAGTATAGCATGAGACAGACCCTCAATACATTTGAAGTGCAAGAGAAATAAATCTTTATTATTTAAACCAAGATATGTCAATCATTTGTTACAGAAGCATAAACTATCTTAACTTGAGGGACAGCTTATTCTTCAACAAGTCACTTTTCCTCTCTAATTTTTAATGTCATCATTTGATTTAACAAATAAAAGGGAAAAAATTAACATTTAGCGAATATCTCTTAAGTATAAGTTGCTTCGTTATATATAATTTAATTTAGTCTTCTCAATGACTATAAAAGGTATTATCCCCTGCAAAAATATTCCTAAATCCAAAGAAATCTCTCAACTCCACTACTCAAAGAATCCAAGCCACTACTATGTCTTAGGACTAGCCTCTTACCTACCTTCTGTTAAAATTTCTCCCTCATTAATTCTCCAGTGCAAAATATTTTAAAGACTTCTCCCTGCAGTTTGAATCAGAGGCAAACTCTCTTCCATGACCTATAAGAGTTTACATGAACTTGCACCTGCCAGCCACTCCAATCTAATCATTCATACTTTGCTGACCACTTATTAAATTCCAGTTATTCTGGTCTTCCTGATATTTTTAAAACATGTCAAGCTTGTTTCTGCCTCAGGACCTTTGCACTTGCAATTGCTTTTGCTAAGTAATACACTTCCCTTAGCTCTTTCATGACTGACTCAGCTAAAGCGACATCCGAGATAAGTTTTCTTTCACCATCCTTGATAAATAATTATTTATCAATTACTATCTGAAATTATATTAATTTATACATTTACTTGTGTGTTTTCAGAATTCCCTACTGTAAGAAAAGCTCCACTAGGGCAGAGACCTTGTCTTGCTTGTACACTGATGTTTCTACAAAGCTTAGAATATTCCCTGGCAAATAGTGAATCCTCAAGAAGTTATTTGTGGAACACAATCGAATCAATGATGCAGATAAGGAAATGAGCCTTTAAGAGTTTGGGTAACTGTCCAACTTTCCTAAATTTCTATGAGTGCTCCTAATTCTGAAGTCCGTTTGCCTTTTGCTTACAGCAAAGCTCTGCTAAGAGACTGAAGTGTCAGGTAGCAGTCAGAGCTAGGCACTGTGCACGTGCCCTTTCAGGCTTTGGTTTTGGATGCAGTCAAAACCAAAAACTCTCGTTAATCATGTTATCACATTAATCCCCAGAGAACCCTGAATTTCCAGTGGAACAAGATAACTTGAGAAATCTATTGATTTCCTATGTTCATCCTGCTGTACAGCTGACAAGGATTGGTGGAGACTGGTATTCTTTTGCCCATGACCCTGCAACTTTGATTTCTATGTCCGCCCAGATTCTCACAATTTTGCAACATGCATTGCTCAAAATGCCCATCCATGAAGTCAGAGTGGTTTCTTCTGTGTCAGCTCTGCCTTCCCAGCTCCTTCCCACTCAGAAAGAGGTCTCTGCCTCCTCCCCTGTTCCCTGACACAAAGCCAGCACTCCTCTCTTCTGGTGCAGCCTGACACACTCTCATTGGCCCTCAGCCTGTGAAGGGGAGGGGCTTGTGTCTCTGGGACTCTTCAAAAGGGATCGGTGGTCCAGGCAGCCTACCTCTGAGGCTGAAACATTTACTCTCTCCCAGCCTTCCTCACTAAGCCTGTGATTTTCCTGACTGCTTTCTCTCTCTCTCTCTCCCTTTTTTTTTTTTTTTTTTTTCCTGGCTCAGCTTGAAACAGAGCCTCGTACCAGGGGAGGCTCAGACCTTGGATTTTAATGTCAGGGATGGAAAAACTTCAGAATGCTTCCTGGATCTACCAGCAGAAACTGGAAGATCCATTCCAGAAACACCTGAACAGCACCGAGGAGTATCTGGCCTTCCTCTGCGGACCTCGGCGCAGCCACTTCTTCCTCCCCGTGTCTGTGGTGTATGTGCCAATTTTTGTGGTGGGGGTCATTGGCAATGTCCTGGTGTGCCTGGTGATTGTGCAGCAGCAGGCTATGAAGACACCCACCAACTACTACCTCTTCAGCCTGGCGGTCTCTGACCTCCTGGTCCTGCTCCTTGGAATGCCCCTGGAGGTCTATGAGATGTGGCGCAACTACCCCTTCTTGTTCGGGCCTGTGGGATGCTACTTCAAGACGGCCCTCTTTGAAACCGTGTGCTTTGCCTCCATCCTCAGCATCACCGCCATCAGCGTGGAGCGCTACGTGGCCATCCTACACCCGTTCCGCGCCAAGTTGGAGAGCACCCGGCGCCGGGCTCTCAGGATCCTCGGCATCGTCTGGGGCTTCTCCATGCTCTTCTCCCTGCCCAACACCAGCATCCACGGCATCAAGTTCCACTACTTCCCTAATGGGTCCCTGGTCCCAGGTTCGGCCACCTGTACGGTCATCAAGCCCATGTGGATCTACAATTTCATCATCCAGGTCACCTCCTTCCTATTCTACTTCCTCCCCATGACTGTCATCAGTGTCCTCTACTACCTCATGGCACTCAGAGTGAGTATCTAGGCTGGCTGGCTTAAGGCAGCATCCCTTCTGTTTTCACAGGCTCAAAGTTCAGAGAAAAACTTAGAATTGGGGAAATTCAGAAATGGAAGGGAACAGAGGGAAAATAGAATGAGCTCAGATGGGAAATCAAGACATTAAAGAAATTGCCTCAAATGAGATGAATGGTAACCACCACTATTTATTATTTCCTTTAGCTCGTCTTCTCATATCTAAATAAGATATGGGTTCTCATATCTAAATGTTCCTAAGAACCATCCAGAAAACTTACTTTGGGTAGCAATATGGATACCTCACCCCCAGGAAAATGGGATTCAGTAGGTCTGAGGTGGAGCCTCATTGTAAAAAAGCACATCAGGCGATCTGGGGTGAGGTGGCCACAGCCTGAGAGACTCCTCCGCATCCTGTTGTCACTTTCCAGCCCCCAGCCACTGCCTGCATTGAGATTTTCCTCTACACCAAGTTGGTCTGAGTATAACACAAACTATCAACTATCCCTGCCTATTTTATAGTCCCAGATAGGTATTCAGTTTTAAAATCAGACCTTTCCTGTGGCTGCTCTGACCCTTTCATTAAAATGAGGTTGAAACAAAACAAAATAAAACTATATCTATCTATCTATATTTATTTATATATAGTTATATATTATATATAGTCATATATATTAATGACATGACTGAGATAACTTGAGCTTCTTTTGAGCAGGTGCAGATTGAGAGATAAGGAAGTAAACAGCACATGAGATAGAGTAAAAAAATGTGAGTAAGAGCTATCTGAAATTAAGAAAAAGATATCACTTATTTTGCAACATATATAATTAGAAGTTCTTTTCCTATGTTTATGGTGATAAACTGATTTCTTTTTCAGAAGGGGGTGTAATAAATTAACTGAGAGAAACTATTTTTAATAAGGGTAGGAATGAGTCTATGTAATTCCTCTCTGGTATATTCTGCACCCAAATTCATGAAGAGAAAAGTTCTTGACAATGACAATTTTACATCCATTTAAGGGAGGTATTATAGCTTGTGTAGTAAACAGTTATGAGACCATTTAGACTCCCAGATCTACAGTAGACACATAATATGCCTTTAGGCAAGCCACATAATTCTCCTGGAATTAGTTTTCCCATTTATAAAATGAAAAGGTTACATCAGATCATATCTATGTACCCTCTAGTTCTAACAGTCTATGACTCCTTTTAAAAAAGAAAAAAAAAAAAAAACCTGTGAGGTGAAGCAACGTGAGTTTTAAATGAGAGGACAAGCAGACATCACACTCACATTATTTGCTTTGAGACGGCTCTGACATCATACGTTACATGACAACGAATATACTCCTATTTCAGTCCATCTCTGAGAAGCTGAATGTCAGAAGCGAGCGCCCAATGGTAGTCCTTTTGAATACCTGTTGTCCCTAAGGTGAATAGCAAGGTCTAAGTAGGAAGAACAAATTCTAAGTGTCACAGACATCTGGGCACAAGAGTAAATCTACTTAGGCAGAGAGCTGTGCCAGTCCCCTCCTGGAGGGCTAGCACCTATATTCCCAGAGACATGTACCACCCTGCACTAGCTCACAACCATGTCTTAAGAATGTCCTGCAAATCTCACTGAAGCGAAAAGACTTCTATACAACTCCAAAGAAAGTCCTATGAGAAATACCCACCCAGAACTTAGTATTATCTCATCCAATGCCAAAGAATCACCTATTTTGGGTCAATTTGGGAAAAATATTTAACTTTGAGTAGGAAATGCACATTTCCTCTTCCAATCTGTTATAATCAGTTTCATTGTGTTTTATTATCAAAAGTCCATGGCTACCTTGTATTATGAGCTAAGTGATAGCTCAAACAGAAGTTTAAAAACCACCCTGGTTTGCTTTGGGTATGTAATGCAACTTTTGATAGCCTGTTTTCAGGAAGGATGAGCTGTTATCCAGGTACCAGAGGACACCAGGAAAGAAACTAACTGCTTACAAAGTCACTCCTAGAAGAATTTAAAAATCTCTATACTGAAACTCAGGAAAAGTAGACCCTATTCTCTGTCACTGACCTGAGGACCTTTATGTACAATATACCTGTAGCCTGTAATGTTCCTACTGTCTGCCACCACTACCCTTTTGCCTTTCTAACCCTCATTTATTCTTTATGTCATACTTCAATAACACTTCCTCAGGGAAGCTCTCCCAGATTTCCTGAGCATTCCCATTTCCTGTTGCAGGTGCTCACGGCTCTCAGTGATTTTCCTTCATTATAATTTACAATTCCATACTTGTGGATTCCTTAATTAATTTTTTTCTTCCCAACTAGACTGTAAGCTCAGTGAATAAATGAGGCTAAATTACTTCCTTCATTGTTGGGCTTTAGCTTCTCTACCTTTAAAACAAAGACTTGGAAATATTATGTCAAAGAGACATAAGCAATCCTAATGATTGTTAAGTAATTGACTCTGTTGGAAAGTTTGAAGGTGTGATTGACTCTGGGACCCACTGCTTTCAGAAGGCAGCAAGTCTAAGACTAATGAAATCACAGGACCAGGGAAGGAGGAAACCCGTATCTGTGCTCATAGCTCAGCATTCAGTCACGCTGCATCATTCCAGTACACAGCCACCACCGATCTGCTCTCCAGGGTTTGAACATTATAGAGATAGAAAATAGACAATTCTAGGGCAAGTTCCTCCACATTTGGGAGGAAGTTCTGGTGACAGTCTGATTTAGTTCTTACATCTCCTGCATGCCGCATTCATGATTGAGTTAATGAGGATGGATGTATGAATTGCAGCAGAATTCAACCATGCCAACACAGGGTTGCACTGATTTTTTTTTTAATAAGTAGATTATATTAAGAATATAGAGATATTTACACAAAACGTATATTATAATCTTTGTATTCTGAAACTAAGTCCCACAAACTATATAAATGAACATCTGGTAGAGTGATTTCAAGAAGTGTAAACAACTGATCAGCATAATGTATCAACCTGAATAATAACCTCACGAACCTCCCTTTCACTTTGCTCTTATGTAGCTAAAGAAAGTAATCACGATTTTTAGTAATCACACTATTTAGTAATAGTAATCACAACTTTTAATAATCACAATATTTAGTAATAGTAATCACAATTTTTCACTCCTCCTTTTGTAACCTGAGTTGTAAAATAAAAGTTTTGGGGTGGAGAAGGATAATGAATGGTTGAGTATCTACTTTACTAAACATCTGTAGGGAAGTGAAATTATTCAATGATAAAGCAGCATTTAATATTGTCTAGACTAACTGTTTTGATTGTATTCTATTCTGCCAACCACTCCAAATTCTGTTGGAACAATGTATACTATACGTAAGTAATCAATTTTTCACTCTTCCTCTGGTTGGCTAGTTGTGTCACTATAAACTAAGGAAGCTGCAAGATACGCAACAATTCATCAGCACATGACTTTCTTTTTAGTGTAAACTATGCTGCTACAGGAAGCCTGTTCATAAAAACATTATGTGAACTATTTGTTTGATGTTTGATTTTTTAAAAATTGTTCCTTGGGGTGGAGAAATTACCATTGAGAATTGTTAAACACAAGGCAGGAAGTGACTAATATATCTCAATATTTTTTATTGTTGTTAATTATGGACTGAAATAAAATAATAGAATAACTTCATCTTGTAAAAACCACAACCTTTTTAAATGGCATGAAATAATTAGAACCTTTAATAGATTTAATCTAAGATGAGTTAGTAAAGTTTGAAGTTTGATGCGTTGCTCTAACCTTGAATGTGTTTTTCTTCTCCGTGTATCTGCCTTCTTTGTATCTGTACAGGCACTCCCTGTGAGCGAGTGGTTACAATGAGAAAAGAATTTCTAAAAGAGACTCAGTACTCCATAAAAGTAACCTCACATATATAAACAAACAACTCTATTTTTTAAAAATCAGTTTTTCTGATGTCTGTTTAGTATGCTGTGGATAATAATCAGAATCACCATAATAGCAGTAATATACAACTTGCTGAGTATCATGTGCCAGGCACTGAGATAAGCACTCTACCTGTATGACTTTGTTTTACTATTGCATTAATAATACTTTTCACCTTCAGATTTTTCCTGTCTAGTCCTAAGATCACAGAGTCTTTAATCCTTTACTTTATGAAGACACAGATATATGTAGAACACTCCGATATATTCAAGAGACAAATGGCCAGGTTTATACATTATCCAAGAGGATTCTTGAGATCCTATGTGGTCCTGAGTGCTACCTAACTGCAAGGAGCATATATGTTTGTTAGGAAGACTGGATATGGATTTGCTGAAGTTTAGAGGCAACTTTTAATGACCCACTCTTCCAAGTCTATTTAATTTCAAATACCTTTTCTGAAATATTCCTTCAAAATGCTATCCAACCCAGGAAGATTATTGCTTCTTATAGCAGTTTGTTCCATTATTGCACATAATCAATATTTATTTCTTACCTTGAATTAGAATCTATCTACCTGTAACTAAACAGATTGATTCTAATCTACTGCCATGACTGTATAAAATAAGTTAAATTTTCGTTCCACCTGATGGCTTCAATCAATTAGCCCGGACTTTTTACATTGCCAATGAGAGACTCCAACCCTGGGTAAATCCCAAAGGGAGCATAGACATGAAAACTTCAGAAGCAGAGCTAGCTCTTGGTGAAGATTAATTAAACAAAACACACACTCTCATTATAAACCTAGCTTTATTTCTGTTTCTTTGCTTTTTTTGTCCATGGTGTTGGTTTCAACCTCAAACTGCACACAGTCATCTTTTGGTGGCTCCAAGCACTTTTTCTTTGTGGAAGAAAAAAAATAACTTTTGTAATTCCAGACCTCATATGCAGAGAAGGACTCCCTCTGGCAGTCCCAATAAAAAATAAATAAAAACTTGCATCTTCAGAAGTATAAGCAAATATCTGAAATCTCATTGGTCCCCATTATTCAATCATTGTGACTGGAGGATAGGACAAGCTGATTGGCTAAATTGTTTAGGGAGTATACCTGGAGCTGAAGTTGAGTGACACCTCTATCCAAATTAAAGATTAAGAATGGGGAAGGAGTACATTCCCTAAGGAAAAATTAGGGTACTATTAGTAAGAGAAGAGAGAAGCAAATGCTAGAGAACCAATGGGCAAATATATATTCAATATGTAATATACTAACTTCTGGATATTTGATGGTATTTTAAGATGAGTCCTTAAAGCTTCCTTTATTTGGCCAACATCCCCACAAATTAAAAAATTTGTAGAATAAAGAGAAAAACTTCCACAACTGGATGAATGATGTAGATCTTCAGTGCTGTGGGAGTTCAAAGGAAGAAGACGACAGTGGGCTAAAGTGGCCATCAAAATCTTTTGGGAACAGGCAGGACTTGAACTCAGCGAAGAAGACTGTGCATACAAGTAGTGTTGATAGATATAAGTTTCAAATGTTACATCAAGGATCTCCATATCTTCCAACAAGGATGAATACATTTTAAACATCTTAACTCAGAAACACATACACTCTTTTCAGTAATTAATATTACTGTAATATTAAAACAACATTTCCCAGTTTGTGTTTGTCAAAATGGTACAAGGTAATCCACTGAAAACGGTTGGGGAAAATATTGTTTAGTCAAAGAAACACTATCTTCCTTTGGCTAAGATGTGAGTAGGCGATGTGAGTGTGGAAGGTAGACGGGAGGCTAAGTGGAAAGTTGATACACTGTTCCCCTTGAAAATTCATAATGCCCATCAGCATATTGAAGTTTCTGAGAAGATCCACAGTAAATATTGGAGGCGAGAAGAATTCCTGTTTTCGTTTTCTACTACTTATCCAGCACATAGCAGAGGGATTTCACTTTAAGAGATGTCTAATAATTATGAATGAGTGAATGAATAGATTGAAAAGCCTAACTTTTCTTGAACTTCAGAATTTTACATTTTTCATGGAACACCTATTAACATGCTACACAGCCAACGCTCCACATAACTGTATATGAAACATGATTGCGCTACTACTTGGCCACAATCATTTATCCAGTTGAGTAGATGACCTGAATCCAATTCCACCTTCAACGTACTGTTAAACGTTTGACATATTCTTACATTTCTCTAGGTCCCAGTTCTTCTGTGTTCAAAATGAGTGTTTGAGTTATGTTTCTCAGATTTTAACAGGAGGGAAAAATGTTTCTCTTTCTTACCATCTCTCCCAACTTACTTCCCTTTTAGCTAAAGAAAGACAAATCACTTGAGGCACATGAAGGGAATGCAAATATTCAAAGACCCTGCAGAAAATCAGTCAACAAGATGCTGTGTAAGTGCTCCATTTTGGTTTTTGTTTTGTTTTGTTCACAAGAGCAAAGGAGTTACATTTGGTACTAACTAAATGCTGCTGGGGGTAGGTTCCAATTTACCCTGAAACCGTATTTATGAGAGTAGATTAAGATCAAGGAGCAAAGGAGAGAGAGATATATATATATAAAATGAAGACACCTCCCTAATGGTCTATATCAATGCTAGGTGATCTGTCTTCCTTTGCTTCTTCAAGCTTCTAGGACCTGTCTGTTTTGTTTCATTTTCAGTTTTGAACCCTCAAAACAACACGCTCACTTTTATCCACTGACATACAATCTGTGTGGTGTTTTGTAAATTACATTCACTTTCTCAGCCTTTGAGCCTCACTTTCCCCCTCTGTGAAATGAACAGGATTTTAACCTATTTGTATTATGGATTTCTTTTAAAATATGATGAAAGCGGTAGACTCTCCATTCCAAAAAAAAAAAAAAAGAATGAATATGCATACACAAAAGATTTTACAATCCATTTCAGGAGGTCATGAACCAACCCCTGATACTCATAGACTCTATGGGATCTTTTAGTTCCAGATTAAGAACATCTGGCAAGCTTCTCCAAGTAGCCATTTCACATATGACATTGTATAACTTTGTTTCAAACAGTATACTTTTGAATAAATAGGACCTTTTTAAAAATTCACTTACTGAGCCACAGTCTCCCAAAAGAATGCTATAAAAATATATGATGCAGTACTACTGTATGAGAGTTACTGATGAGGGAAAGGAGATTTATAATATATTTTGCAAATCAAAATCTAAAGTTTAGAAGCAATGAATCATCCAGGCTAATATGCATATGAAACATTCACTGTAACTATACAGCATTTCTGAACAAAAAATAAACTGTGAAGTCCCTGAAGTGGGTCTTCTCGATTGTAAGAGTTATTTCTTGGAAATATTTTAGCCCCTCCTGGCACTTGACTTTCTCTATTAAGAAACATAGTTTCTTCATTATCCCTACCCTTTTCTCCTTGGTCATAATCTACTCTCACAAAAAAAAAAAAAAAAAAAAAAAAAAAAACCCATGAAGCTCACTCATATTAAAATCACAATAACAGCATATGCTATAAAGATTTTGCCTTGGTATGGGGTTCAACTTTAACAGGAATTAAAGTTGTTTGTTATTGTTGTTGTTGTTTTTGAGATGGAGTCTTTCCCTATTGCCCAGGCTGGAGTACAGTGGCATCTCAGCTCACTGTAACCTCTGCCTCCCAGGTTCAAGCAATTCTCCTGCCTTAGCCTCCCGAGTATAGCACACTCCTGGGATTACAGGCGTGTGCAACCATACCTGGCTGATTTCTGTATTTTTAGTAGAGATGGGGTTTCCCCATGTTGGCCAGGCTGTTCTTGAACTCCTGACCTCAGGTGATCCACCCCTTGGCCACCCAAAGTGCTGGGATTATAGGCCTGAGCCACCATGCCTGTCAGGAATTAAAGTTTTAATTAAAGGGAATTGTAGGCAGTAGTGAACAGATTAGGGACTTTTCTTGGGTTAGCAAATTCAGTAGAAACCTACAGATATCTTTGAAACCATACCACACAGGCAAACAGCTTACTCTGAATGTGTTTAATGCCAACAGGAAATGTATGTATAATACTATTTACTATGAAAACTTCATATCTGTACACAAGTACAGAAAACTGTAAAATGAATACCCCTGTACCCATCACCCAGTTTCAGAAAGTATCACCTCATAGCTAATCTTGTTTCATGTATACCCTTATCTTTCCCCCAGCCCCAAAAGATTATCTTTAGGCAAATCCCAAGCATCATGTCTAGCAAAGGAAAGTATTTACAACTTTAAAAGGAAAAAGAAAAAGTTTGTGTGTGTATGTGTGTGTGTGTTTAAATTTGTGGTGCTTAAATGCCCCAAAGAGAAACTACAGTAACACCAGTCTCTGTTTTGGTAGGTGAAAATAAGAGATTGGAAGGAATTCTGTGCTGTAGCAATTTATAATATGACAGACACATCCCTTCCAATCAAAAGATACTTGTAAAGTACGATTATGCTTGTGGTTGTTTGATCTCTTCTTTCTCCTTGCCTACCCATTACAGAATTTTAAATTACTGAATTCAGAGAGACTTCTAATTATTCCTATAATAACAAGATGAATTTATATATACATTTAACAGTTTATTATTTATCTTTTACAATAAGATGTTTTCAGGAATTTGAAATGAATTAAGTACTATTTTAAATGTTCTAAAAAGTTTTACATTATACAAGAAATCTTGTATAATCTTATGGAAAACTGATCCTAGATCTTATACAATTCATTCTTGTGTTTTAAATGTTTTGTACTGAAGCTCTTTGGGATCTAGTTTGCCTCTATAACTGTTACAGTTTAACAAAGTTGAAGGGAAAAACTGCTAGAAGAAATGATTGACTCAGAGTGAGCATTGTATACCTATCCTTGCACAGACTGCCTTCTGCTCTCCCATTTATCATCCATTTTCAGTTATCTTGGTCTTAGTGTTTGCTATCTGTTGGGCCCCATTCCACATTGACCGACTCTTCTTCAGCTTTGTGAAGGAGTGGACTGAATCCCTGGCTGCTGTGTTCAACCTCGTCCATGTGGTGTCAGGTAAAACCTTAGCTGAATTTGGTGCATGACTAGTATTCAGGTAACAGCAACTTCTTCATCTTGCTTAAATGCCTAAGTACTCCAATTTATCACAGGGATCTGCCATGCTATAATGAAGACATTCGATTTTTCTTTTATTCAAAAGATTGATTATGTTTGGTACTGGTCCAAACACATATATACCAGATCACTATTTTCAAGGCTACTTTATAGAAAACCTCAACTCCAACTGTGATGATTACAGAAGGAAAATGGTCAAGGAGTGATTCCTTTGATTATGCTCCAAATGGCCATGCAATTCAGTTGGTTCTTATTTGGTAAACATCCGTGTTCCTGAAATCTCATATTGCCTTTGGTAAGTATTATATCCTCACGAAGGAAAACCAAAAGGTATTCATAGGTCACCAAGTTCTCCTTTTAGACTACTGTGACTCTGCTTGTTGAGGATACTATAGTATATTGTGGAAAGCATGGTGGAAAGGTCAGTAAGTCAGTTGACCTGGATTTGTACCCCAATTTCACCATTGCTATTCTGAGTGATCTGCAGAACATGGCTGCCTTCACACCAAAGTTTCCTCAACTGTAAAATGGCAATAATGCCTCCTGTAGACAAACCATGGACTGATGGTAAGAAGCAAATGCAGTAATAGACATTAAGGAGCTCTTTAAGCTGTAACTGCTGTATATCTTTCTATAATCATCAAAAGGTCATTAGGTGGGTATTATGATTAACATCGTATAGTCAAAAGTAAAACACTTCCACAAGAAGAAATGATTTGCCCTAAGGCACTTAGCTAACAAATAATACACCCAAGTCACCTAACTTCAAGTTCAGTGTTCTTTCTACTAAAATGGAGCAGAGAATGGCCACCCAATTTCTTCTTTCTCAGTCAGTGACAGCTAACTCAGTGTTAGCCTTAGGCTCAGACCGCTTCTGTCCTCCCACCTCTCCTGGTCACTGGCTGATTCTGTGGTCTCATTAGATTATCGAAGATATCACTGGAAAGGAAAGATAAAGTCAGCTTTTATAAATTAAGCTCCAGATGTACACAAAGTAGAAACAATGACATCTATACTGAATATCATGTATATTATCTATTTTCTGTCACCCTCTTTTTTGTACTCAGCAGGCCTAATGTATAGCTTATTCTTGGACATTAGCACTTTCCTGTTCAACCATTTGCAACCAAAGCTCAAAAATATGTATACCTCTCAGTTTATCCTTTTGGTTAATCTGCAGAAAACAGAAACATTTAAATAAATGAGAAAGCACTACAAGGTCAAATGAGACTTGACTAGTTGACTACATATCTCTGGATGCATCAGGGCAATTATCTTAAGATTTTCAAGTTATAGCTTTAATAATGACATGATCCTGTTCAGATACTATCTCCTCCTTTTTTATATTAGCACACTAGATTATGTCTAAATCTCTTAAACCCTACAGAAAATGCCCCCAACTTGCCTTTTAATCCCCCAACTTTTATTATTTTTATTCATAGACCATCTACTTATCAAACTGGTAATTAGAGAGTTCTGCACGTTATTCCTGCACCATGTGGCCATTCCTGCCTCTGAATATTTGTGCGTGCTATGCCCTGAACCTGTATCACCCTCTCCTATCTTCCTTAACGATCTCTTACCCATTTTGAGGTCTGGCTAGGGTTCAATCACCCCCCACTAAATCTTTTATGACCACCACAATCCTTGTGTTTCTGCTATTATGTGAATTGCTATAGCATGATTTGTTATCTCATATTTGTTTTTAACAGATACTGCTTGGTATTGTTGTATTGTTAATTATTTAATTTACCCATAAATCTTGTCTCTGTAGTACCGTTCCAAGATCTTGGAGAACAAAGTCTAAATTCACTATCTCCCAATGTGCCTTGAAGTTCGTGGCACATAAGAGTTAAATCAATATTTATTTTCTGAATGAACTAATAGTATTAATACATGGAAATGTTCTCCTTTAATATTCTTCCATGTTTATTCTGTAAACAAGGCATATAGCACTCTGAATGTCCTGAACCATATAAATAAGGACAACAAGGAACCCGTTGGCAATAGTACCCATCACTTGTTTTACATTCTTAGCCATTCTCAGCCTCTTTGTGGATGGTATCTTAACTTTACCCTCACAATAATCCAGAGAGGTGAGTTGGGCTGGAAATTGCATTCCCATTTTACAGAGAAAGAAACTGAAGTGCCAGGGTTTGTCTAAGGCCACAGGATATGTGAGGGCCAAGATCAGAAACTAGGTCCTCTGATTCCCAAACTTGAGCTCATTCTGGGCTTTAGGGAAATAAATTTTTAAAAGACAATAAAGGAAGAGTGTATTCCAAACAGGAAAATGACAACGTGAAGGGTAATTGGTAGAGGAAATAAATGGTAAAATACAATTCTTCAAAAGGTAGAGGAACCATCAAGGGAAAAGTGTAGGTAGGAGCAGAACACTAAGGAATATTTCTTTGAAGCCATATCTTAGCATTATAAGGAGTCTCAGCAGGGACTAAGCCTTGGCTGATTTACCTGCTTCCACTACTTGCAATTCCAAATTATAGATTTAAGTAAAATTCCAAAGAGATACAAACATTTCTCTTCCCTCTGATATTTAAGCATCTTTCATTCGTGTTATGGAAACATGTTCTTTAATTAAACAAGTAGGGATCAAAGAAAGTTGCTGAACATCTCAGAGAGATCCCATGCCAGCCTAAATTACTCCAAGACTCTTTAATCTTTGTGTTTGATTGCTTAGTGCACAGGTGGAAGATCTATTAAGAGTATTTTGTATTCTCAATTAGAGGCTTATATGTATTATCACTTCTAAAAGAGGCAATCACAGGGATTTTAGGCCTTTGTAAATATGTATGCTTCTCCCTTCATGCCTGTCACTCAGGTTCTTCTCAGCACATCTTTTTAAATCTCCTGCATTCCAGGTGTCTTATTCTACCTGAGCTCAGCTGTCAACCCCATTATCTATAACCTACTGTCTCGCCGCTTCCAGGCAGCATTCCAGAATGTGATCTCTTCTTTCCACAAACAGTGGCACTCCCAGCGTGACCCACAGGTGCCACCTGCCCAGCGGAACATCTTCCTGACACAATGCCACTTTGTGGAGCTAACCGAAGATATAGGTCCCCAGTTCCCATGTCAGTCATCCATGCACAACTCTCACCTCTCAACAGCCCTCTCTAGTGAACAGATGTCATGAAGAAACTATCAAAGCTACCACTTTCACAAAACCTGAATTCTTTCAGAGCTAACTTTCCTCTATGCCTCAGAACTTCAGAGAGGAACATCCCATAATGTATGCCTTCTTATATGATATTAGAGAAGTAGAATGGCTCCTACAACTCATGTAACAATTGCTAGTTTTTGTGTTTGTTTGTTTGTTTTTTTAATAAATGTGAAAACTCAGAGTTAGATCTGGGTTCAAAACCCAGAACTGCCTGATTTTTAGTTCTCTTTTCATTATTCTAACTGCCTTGTGCCTCTCACTAGTTCATGTCAAGAACATGACTGGAAAAGCATGGCACCTATACCTTGATTAATTTCCATTATTGGAATTGGTTTGGCCTGAGTCATCTACATTCCGAGTCAGACTGTCACTCCTGCTACCAATGGCCACTGTAAGCCAAAGAAGGAAGATGTGTACATACTGTTCTACTTTATGTGATGTGAGAAGCCCACATCAGTGTCCCTTGGCAGCAGTCTACAGGCGTACCTTGTTTTATTATGCTTAATTGTATTATGCTTCTCAAATATTGCACTTTTTAAAAAATTGAAAGTTTGTGGCAACGCACTGGCACCTTTCTTCCCAAAAGCATGTGCTCACTTCATGTCTCTGTGTCAATTTTCATAATTCTAACAATAAACTTGATTATTATTCTATGCGCTTATGGTGACCCGTGGTCAGTGATCTCTGATATTACTATTGTAATTATTTTGGGAAACCTATGAACTGCTTCCATAGAAGATGGAGAGCTTAATAAATATTGTGTTGTTCTGACTGTTCCACCCACCATCCATTCCCCATCTTGGTCCCTCTCCATGGGCCTATTCCTATTTGTCCCTATTCCCTGAGACAAAACAATATTAAAATTAGGCCAGTAAAGAACCCTACAATGGCCTCTAAGTGTAAGTGAAAGGAAGAGTGGCAAGTCTCTCACTTTAAATCAAAAGCTAGAAAGGATTAAGCTTAGTGAGTATGTAAAAAAACTCAGACAGGCTTAAAGCTATGCCTCTTGTAGCTGTTAGCCAAGTTTTGAATACAAAGGAAAAGCTCTTAAAGGAATTTAAAAGTTCTACTCTAGTGAACCCATAAATTATTGTAAGAAAACAAAACACCTTTATTGCTGATACAAAGAAAGTTTGAGTGGTCTGGATAGAAGATCAAACCAGTCACAACATTCCCTTAAGCCAAAGCCTAATTCACAGCAAGGCCCTAACTCTCTTCAATTCTATGAAGAAAGAGAGAGCCGAGAAAGATGCAGTAGAAAAGTTGGACGCTAGCAGAGGTTGGTTCATGAGGTTTAAAGAAAAAAGCCATTCTCCATAACATAAAAGAGCAAACTGAAACATCAAGTGCTGATGTAGAAGCTGCAGCAAGTTATCCAGAAGTTACAGCTAAGATAATTGATGAAGTTGGCTACAGAAAAAAAAAAGATTTTTAATGTAGATGAAACAGGTTTATCTTGGAAGAAGATGCCATCTAACTAAGGCTTTTATACCTAGAGAGAAGTTAATGTCTGACTTCAAAGCTTCAAAGAACAGGCTGACTCTTGTTTGGGGATAATGCAGCTGGTGACCTGAAGTTGAAGCCAATGCTCATTCACCATTCTGAAAATCCTAGGGCCTTTAAGAATTATGCTAAATCTATTCTGTGCTCTATAAATGGGAAAATGAAACCAGGATAACAGCACATCTGCTTACAGCATGGTTTACTGAATATTTTAAGCCCACTGTTGAGACTTACTGCTCGAAATAAAGGTTCCTTTCTAAATATTACTGCTTATGGATAATGCACCTACCTATTCACCCAAGAGCTGTGATGGAGTTGTACAAGGATATTAATGTTGTTTTCATGCCTGTGAACACAACATTCATTCTGCAGCCCATGGATCAAGGAATAATTTCAACTCTTAGAAACATATTTCCATGAGGTGGTAGCTGCCATAGTGATTCCTCTGATGAATCTGGGCAATGTAAACTGATCCTTCTGAAAAGAATTCCCCATTCTAGATGCAACTAAGAACATTAATGATTCATGGGAGGAAGTCAAAATACCAACATTAATAGGAGTTTGAAGGAAGTTGCTTCCAACATTCATGAATAATTTTGAGGGGTTCAAGACTTCAGTGGAGGAAGTAACCACAAATATGGTAGAAATAGCTAGATAACTAGATTGGAAGTTGAGCCCAAAGATGTTAATGAATTGCTGCAACCTCATCATGAAACTTGAACAAATGAGAGGTTGCTTCTTATGGATGAGCAAAGAGAATGGTTTCTTGAGATGGAACTACCACTAGTGAAGATGCTGTGAACATTGTTGAAATGACAACAAATGATTTAGAATATTCTATAAACTGACAATAAAAGAGCTGCAGAATTGAAGAGGATTGATTTCCAGTTTGAAAGAAAAGTTCTCTTGTGGGTGAAATGCTATCAAACAGCATTGCATGCTACAGAGAAATCTTTCATGAAAGTAAAAGTCATTGGATGCAGCAAACTTTTTCGGTGTCTTATTTTAGGAAATTTCCACAGCCACCTCACCCTTCAGCAACCACTACCCTCATCAGTCAGCAGCTGTCAACATTGAGACAAGACCCTTCATTAGCAAAAAGATTATGACTCACTGACAGTTTAGATTATCATTTTTGTTTTTTAGCCACAAAATATTTCTAACTTACATACATTTTAAAAACTTAATGCTATTATAGACTACAATATAGTGTCAACATAACTTTTATATGCACTGAGAAACCAAAAAAAAAAAAAAAATAGTGTGACTCACTTCATTGCAATGGTCTGGAACTGAACCCACAGTATCTCTGAGGTATGCCTGCATTTACCTACTGCCTCATATACTGCCATTATCGTGTGATTCCTTACAGTCCTACAGCCTTTGCTTTAAGAGTTCCCCCTTATAACATGAGAGTGCTCCTGAGAATGATTATCTCTCCCACCCCAACTGCCAAGTCATTATCAGCGATTTCTCATTAGGAACTAGATTAAACTAAGAAGTTCAACTTAGAGAAGAATGAGAAGAGGGAGGGGCTGTGGTAAAAGGTCAAAAGAAGCAGAAACTATACCAAACAGGAACTTAGTTATTTTCATAAATTGGTCTAGACTTGGATTTCTAATGTCTAATTTCATATAGTATAGATGGAAGTATCTTGGAATCAAGACAAGTCAAATGGCAACAACTGGTCTCAAACCCACTTTTACTTACTCAGTCTTTTATTACCTACACAATACTCTTCACACATGTAATGTGGACAAAACTACTTCCTAGACTAATTTTCCATTATACCATCACAAGTAATGTATACTCTATTCAAATGGAATTACTTGCTGTTCTTATGCAAATGCATCCCACAGTTTTTCCCAGCTGCAGATCTTCACGCATAGAATGCCCTCTTCATCTCCAATCTCCATCTGTTTCTATCCTACCCATCCTTCAGTGTTCATCTCAGTGTAGTGCTTCCTCCATGAAGCCTTGCTTGATTTTATTCAAATAGATATTGTATCTGACTTCTCTGTCAGTTTATGTCTCTTAAGCTTTTCCTTCACTCTGCTTTTTATTTCAGTGATTTATGTTCTTGCTTTGCCAGAATGTAAATTTGTCAAAGACATGATGTATCTGGTGTTCATTTTTTCTCTTGTTGGAACCCTGGCAATATATCTATCACAATGGTATATGTTCAATAAATACGTGATAAAGTGAGTTGGCTTCATATTTCAATGTATTGAGTTAAGCAACAGTTCCAAATGGAACCATATTAAGAGATAAAAGACTAAGATTATGTTTGTGACAGAGATACCTGACTTTCAGTTGGCCACCCAATCAGTTGTGATTATAATGACATGCCTGTTGTCCCTATGGTACAAGAAGGCCCTTCCCAATCTCAGGAGTTACTGATGCTAAAACACAAAAGTTCCAGCATTTAGCCTCTGAATTGTTCATAAGTTGAATGAATGATTCCAATGATAAATGGGGGTATTGGTCTCTGACATCACCATCTGTTAATTTAATAGTCATATTCAGATACTCAACATTAAAACAAACAAAGAAACTCTGCTAATTACAACCCAGTTTTAATAAATCAGAATACTCTCATGATGGTTTACATTAGTGGGCAAAATTCTGTGGCCATTTGAGGATTAAGTTGAAAAGGCTCTGCAAAACAAAACCTCAGAAATGGAGGAGAAATTAATTTTCTACTTGCCTTTTAAAGTAGAGATATTGTTCAATGATAATCTATTAGCCCTTAAACATCAACTTAACATCAACACCCAATTACCAGGACTAAATATGCTGCTGCTGTCAGTGAATAGAAAGAGAAATACACTAAAACTAAAGCTAGCAAATTTGACTGGTTGACTAAAACTTTGGTCCTTTTTTCTTTCCTCCTTCCTTTAAACAAATCTTTACTTGGTGACCATTAGGAGATGTGCATCATGCCAGGTTATAAACTTCTTGCCCTTGAAAGTTGACGTCGCGAAGAAGACATGATTATTTCTGAAAACCATGACAACATTAATTGCTTAAATCTGATTGTGAAGTGTGCCACAAAATATAAATACAAGTACTTTGGGACCATATGAAAAAGGGATTTGACGTAGTCAGGAGGAAATAAGATTCAAAAAGGAAAAAAAGAATAAAAGAATGTTAGTTGAGTTTTTCTTTATACATACATCTATACACATACATATATACATATAGGAAGTAAGTATTTCAAAATGAAAATTTAAACATCACAAGTTCTAGAGTTAGCTTATATAATGGTTCATATAAAATTCATAGAACAAAGGGAGAAAACAAAACTAAATTCTTTAATGCTACTAATGGTTGACCTCATATTTTTATGAATTCCTTGTGGTCTCTGAGTTTTAGAATAATGATAGAAGAGTCCACACAGTTAACATGACTAATAAAATACAATCCTGTGCTGCATAACAATGTTTCAGTCATTAATAGACCACAGACTAATATGTGAAGGTGGTCTCATAAGATTATAATATCATATTTTTACTGTAACTTCTCTATGTTGAGATACAAAAATACTTACTATTGTGTTACAGTTGTTTATAGTATTCAGTACAAGAAAATGCTGTAAAGATTTGTATCCTAGGAGCCATAGGCTATGCCATATAGCCTAGGTGTGTAGTAGGCTATGCCAGCTAGTTTTGTATATGATGTTTGCATATAACAAAATTGCCTAATGATGCATTTCTCAGAACATATCCTCATCACTAAGTGACACATGACTGTATTGGTAACTTAACTCTTTTGCAATGAGATAGTGACTTTTTAGCACACCAGTAATCTATAAGCTTAGTGAACTGAAGCAATGACATTCAGAATGTTGCCTGTCACATTAGTTTCTCTAGCTCAAAGAAATAGCAGGCATTTTAAATCTGACACCCATGAATGAATGTAAGGAGATCCAAGAATCTCCTGAAATTATATTCAAAATTCTTAGTACTTTTTTCCCCTTGGAGAGAAAATGTGTATAGCTTTGCTTAGCTCCTCAAAGTAGTCTGTGACTCAAATTATTATAACCTCTCTTGTGAAGCGCACTTAAGTCTTGCATAAAGATACTCTCTTAATGGATGAATTTTAATTGAATGAACATATTTGTGGGATAGCTAAAGAAGTACCATTATTCCAACTTAAAAATTC